TGTATGATTGGATTTTACAAACGGCTTATCATGTAATACATGCTTTCTTTGTAAGATTTTACAGATGACTAATTATGTATCACAATATTTTTTATCTTTTTTAGATTTTACACACGGTTATTTATGAATCACAACATTCTTTAACTTATATGATTGGATTTTACAAACGGCTTATGCTTTCTTTGTAAGATTTTGCAGATGGCTAACTTTGTATGATGATATTGCTTGATTATTTTTTTTTAGATTTTACACACGGTTATTTATGTATCACAACATTCTTTAACTTTGTATGATTGGATTTTACAAACGGCTTATCATGTAATACATGCTTTCTTTGTAAGATTTTACAGATGACTAATTATGAATCACAATATTTTTTATCTTTTTTAGATTTTACACACGGTTATTTATGTATCACAGCATTCTTAACTTTATTATGATTAGATTTTACACACGGCTAATTATATATCATTTAATGGTGCGACTACCAATACGAAAAATAGGTACTGTAATATTTTTTCACGGGATATAACCGGATATTGGATTAAAAACAAGCTAGTGTCCTGTTTAATTACTAATATTGTATATAAGATGTCTCTTTGAAAGTAAAGTAAAACGATAAACGAAATCTTCGCTTCAATTAAAGAAATCAGGGAAGTAATTTTTTACATGTCATATTAAAATAAATCAATTCAGATATTCACTATGCCAAATAATTAAAATAGCTGAAAAGATGGATTCATATGATAAAAACCTGTATTCACGACCGGCGGGCTGTTTACAGTTTAATGAATTAAACAATAAGAATCCATCTTTGACGATTATATTACGACCGGTGGGCTAATATAATTGTCCTAACTATTAAAATCTCATATGATGAGTAAAATAATATCTGAGAGATTAACTTCAACATCATGACGAGAAAAAATCGTACTCCTAAAGAATTTTTACTAACAATCTTAAACGAACATCTAAAATTCCTAAAAAGAACAAAAGAAAAAATTCCAAAAAAATATCATAAAGATATCGAAACACAAGAAGAAAGAACAAAAGACTACCATGCCCGTGTTACTAAAAAAGAATTCATCGATTGCGATACTTTGAAGAATGCATTTGAAAAAGAAAAGGGTGCGTTCAATAGAAAAATCGACAACCTCAAAAGAGAAATTAGAAGATTAAATGGTGTAATTAGAAGAAAGGATAAGGAAATCGAAATACTTAAGTCTGACAATAGCGAAAAAGATAATCAAATTGAAGAACTCGAAACTAAAATGAAAAATTTACTCTTCGAAAATTCTAACCTAACCAAACAGATATATAAGTCAGGTAAGGTAAGGAAGGGTATGAGATTAATTTAATTTTCTTCATTATAGTACTTATTTCGAATCTGAATTAGATCCTTGGAAAATATTACCACTCGAACTTCTATATGAAATTTGTTCATATTTATCTCCGAAAGATTTATTTTCCTTTATGAAAGTTGAAAAATTTTTATATAATATATTAATTTCAAATAGCGGAATTTGGAAAATTTCCCGACAACGGCAACCTAATCAAAATCACGAATGCCCCAGAAATATGACTGAACAACAATATTGCTTTTTAAACTTCATAAATATATGTCAAATATGTAATCAACCAGACGATTCCGCATTAATTCTTGAACTAAAGATCAAAATTTGTAAACCTTGTCGTGTAAGAACGCCAACATTAATCAGGTAATGGATAATTTTTAAACCACTTTTCAAATCATTATTTAATTAATTTTGATTTGTATAGCCGTTTAACACTTGAAGAAAGTGATTTTCCATCCGAACTCCTTTCTGCGATGCATTCAGTAGATTACCAACAACTTCAAGGAAATTACCTAGATCATTCTACGCGTAAATTATCACTTACGTCTCATTTGGTCCATTACTTGAAAAAAGAAGTAGATAGTACCAAAAATGAATATCTCAGAGTGCCTGAAAATGGGAAACAAGAATGGTTGAATAAGAGAACAAAGATCATTCGAGAATATTACAACAATATTTTAAAAATAAAACATCCAACTATTGAGGATCGATATTTACTTCCTCAGTAACAAACTTCATTGCAACCTCAACAGCAAAATTTACTGCAAATGACTCGTCAATTTTCATTTTTATTTCCCGATGAATTTAATTTTGAATAAGTATATTTTTATTTTTGAAATTCCATTTCTGGTGATTTTGTTCAAAAAATGACTTCTACGTTGTTCCTGAAACATATTTTTATAAAATTTTAGTTGATATTTCTTGACCGGTGTAAAATCGCCACCCAAAAAAATTTCGAAAATCATGTGGTATTGTCAATTCATCATCATTAGAATCATGA